AACTGACGGTTCTTTTCAGTATTCTTTATGCATGATACCAGACATATTTTTAGTACAAGCCTTTCCACGTATTTTCTCTCACCACTTCACTAACTGGAAACTTTGCCACTTGGGCACTAAGAACTGCATGCATGTACATCCTTCAACACTTTTGGGGCTTTCTTCCTGTTTGTGCTTTATAGATTCAGATTTACATCTGCATCTCAAACATGAGATTGTTTTTATTATTTTACTTCATTTCCCCACACCTGCATCACGCTTATATAATCTCTCTTAAGGCTAACCTTCCTGCTTCTACTATTAAACACTGAAAAGAGCTAAAAAGAGAAGTTTATGTCCTTCATTAAGAGCCAAATCCTCTTCTATAACTCCCAAGCTCATCACAGCCTGAGAACATCAAGTCACTCCTTTAAAGTTTTCTGCTCTATCTCAACTTCTATTATTCTTGATAATAAATTACACCTAAGTTTTCCTTTTTCTACAGTTTTACATTAGGATTTCTGTAATGCAGTTCTATGCTATACTGCCCCTAGTTTTATCTGGATTTCTAAAGCATATTTAAAAAAAAAAAATCAGTACTTAAGTTTCACTTTTTTTTAATAATGTACAGATTTAATGCTGTACTTGAACAACTCAATGAAACTCAAATATAAGAATAAAATGAAAATCAAATGCAAATGAAACTCCAATATAAGCAGCATTTTAAACTTGTAGGTTTATCACAAAGACATAGTAAGTCTTATATTTAGACACTATCATCAATTATTAAATTTACTTTTTAGAAAATACCTATTTAATATGCTGTCAGCATCTTAGCATTGCTACTGCTAACTAAGATGTTAAGTGCCTGACCTCGGCCCTGCCATCCCTAACTATTTTTACAAACCCTTATAAAATAAAGTCTCTTTTAAACACTTATGCTGCTTATGTCCCTCCTCCTTCAGTTTCTCAATCGAAAAGGGACAGATAAGTTTCACTTTCCAGGCTACACACAGTAGTCACTTAAAACACATTCCAGAATTCGTTAAGTTCAGTATACTTCTTGACATTATGCTCATGCCACAAAACAGTCCTTCCTAACAATTATGAAGAACAACATTTTATTTGGGTACATCTAGCAATAAAGTCAGAGATTTTATTAACACAGATTAACTATTTAACTCTGTTGGATAAGTAGTTACAGATCTCAACTATTATTAAGCTTGGTATAAGAAGCATACCGTCTAATGTTTATCAAAAGTATTATAGAGGTGATAACACTCCATCAGTTCTCTATCAGTTTATCAACATTTATCAACAGCTGCACGATGAAGTGATGTGTAAGGATGATGCACCTGGAATAAAATCTGCCATGTATAGAAAATAAGGAGCTACTTCCATCTTGCAATGCAAATGCCCTATTCCATCCCTCTTTGAAAATAATTAGCAAAGATATTAAGTAAATGCTTATGTTCCCAAAGTCTCACATACTCAGAAAATCCACAGCACCACTACTGCTCTGATTACACCAACTGTGATGCACTATCCAGTGGAATCCTGATGTCATATAATTATTTCTGCAACCGATTTATGAGTAATAAGAAAGTTACCATAGTTTTCCATTGGTTCTCATATCACGACTAACCCGATGAGTAAGCAAGTCTCCTAGACCACAAGCAGCTACAGGAAAGTCCGTCAAACTCCGGGGCTTGTACTTTTCTTTTCTTGGCCTCCCCTATACTGACCGGAAAGCTAATCCAGGAGAAGGATCCTGAATCTTGCTCTGGAGAACAGGGAAACGAGACAGAGCCTCCTCTGGCATCATCCTCCCTAGCCAGACCCCTAACGAACCTCGCTAGAGCCGTGCCACAAATCAAGGCCGAGCCAGAGCTCAGCAGACGATACCAGCGACACTAAGCGACGCTGTCACACCTCCAAGTCGGACAGGCTTGGTAAAGACCACAGCAGATGGGCCTAGCGAGAAGTGAGAGCCCAGAGGGGCCCAAAGGGCAAATAAATCCACCAGAACGAGTCCCAGTGTCCCCTCTTTCCGACACCGTCCCCAGTCCCCCTCCCCCAGCCACCCCAGTCGACCCCTAACCTTTC